AGGAGGGGAGGGGCTGGGGTACGGGAGGGACCAGGAAACTCCTCCTCTCCAGAGTCTGCCCCTGGGAGAAGAGGGCAGAGTGCCACCCAGACACCTTGCCTGCCCACTCATGCCTGCGGGTGTCAAGTTGTCTCTTGCAGTGCAGACAAACTGCACCAAAGTGTCCACACTCTCCTTAGCCAAGCTGAGGGCAGGGAGAGTTGGTGGCTCTGTGGCTAGGGCTAGGACCTTCTTCAGGGGCTGCTGAAGGGTAGCAGAACACGCCACCCCAAAATATGTCACTTGGGCATAAGGACTGTTTTGAGCTGAAGGCAACTGAGAAGAAGCAGAGACAAGAAAAGCTCTCTGCCCTCCCCCTATTTGCCTAAAAGCCGGACATATACATTTATAAGCGTGTCCCTCCTCCCCTCAACCAGGAAGGACAAAGGCTGATCACAGAAGACAGTGTTAAAACCTTATCAGCCTGGAGACGGCACAAAGGAATCTACATAACAAGCTCTGCTAACTAGCCTTTATCTACCATTAGTTTCCCATTGATTTGTCTTCCCACAATTTTCCATCCCCAGAGACTCCAAGTCCTTTTTCTTTGTCTCTTGCTTCTTTTAAATTGTATGCTCTTGGTTGAAAATGCTATGTAAGCCAGAGTTCTAAGCTACCTCTTTTGTTTGTTTGTTTGTTTGTTTGTTTTTGAGACAGACTCTCGCTCTGTCGCCCAGGCTGGAGTGCAGTGGCGTGATCTCGGCTCACTGCAAGCTCTGCCTCCCGGGTTCACGTCATTCTCCTGCCTTAGCCTCCTAAGTAGCTGGGACTACAGGTGCCCACTACCTCACCTGGCTAATTGTTTGTATTTTTAGTAGAGATAGGGTTTCACAGGATGGTCTAGATCTCCTGACCTTGTGATCAGCCTCCCAAAGTGCTGGGATTACAGGTGTGAGCCACCGTGCCAGACCTCTAAGCTACCTCTTTAAGCTTTTCTCATTTTTCCTGAGGATCTCCCATGAGAACATTTTATACATGTTAATAAAGTTCTCTTTGTTTTTCCTTGTTAATCTGTCTTCTGTTACCAGGGTCCGAGCTAAGAACTCAGAAAGGTAGAGAGAAAATGGTTTTTTCCTTCCCTACACTGGGAAACCAAGTCAAGCCACTCATTCTATGAGGTGCTCTAATCTCAGCTTCATGACCAACCAATGACCCTCCCATCACGAAAGTCAGGTGACCTCAAAGGAACCCCCTCCTGGGAGGGCTCTTAATGACCCAACCAGTCTACCAGTCACTGTTGGAGCTCCCTGGTTTCCTCAGGTACCTATTCTGCCCTTGGAAGTGCCTGGTGCAGTGGGGATCCGGGGAGGTGGCAGGGCAGAGATAAGCTCCAAGAGAAGTGCAGGCTGCTGGGGGTCCCTTCCTGGCCAAGCCTTGAAGCTCTCTCTGAAGAGCAGTATCAACCGGCGACTCCTATGCATCCTGGGAGGCCTCTGCCTGCCTTCTCACGTTTCAGGCAGGCAGGCAAAGTTCAGCCTTCCCCTTCTTGGCTAGAATTTTCTGCCAGTGAATTCGGTTCTGAATACCCCAGCCGAGTGGGATTTCCAGCTACCTGGAGAGAAGTCTGGGACCACGCTGGCAGACTGTCAGGACCTGCTCCTGTGATTTGATTTCCACTGCAGAGAGCACACTTCTTTTTCTTTCTATACTTGCCAGTTTCCCGGAGGCCCCTGGCCATCCTTGAGCCCGGTGCAGACAGCAGCCAGCAGGACCAGAGCCTGATGGACAAACTCGGGACAAACTGTGCTGGTTCTCTTGCCCAGCAGAGAACTGCCAAGGTGGCATCTCCTTCCTGCCTGGTCTGGGTAGAAAACCCTGAGCTGAACCCAGAGCAGGGCTAGAACCACAGAAACATCTCTTATTGCATCTAGGGCAGGGACAGGGGGACAGGGAGAGTAGAGAATCCACTCTTGGCCAAAGCCTATATTCTTAGAGACATGGGGCCCCTGGCCCCTAAGAGCAAAGTCTTCAACTCCCACTGGGCTTTCTTTAGCCTCTTGGCACTTGCCAACCCCATTCTAAGGACTAGAGGGCCAAACCCAGCACCCACACAGCACAGTAAGAATATCTTCACCGACCACTTTCCAGACCTCAGGGAGCAGGACCCACCACGACCTCAGAGGGCTCGCTGGGGGCCCTAAGCTCCTCTAGCCCAGGCCTGTGGGTGGCTGTGCCCTTAGGGGAGGGGAGGCTCTCCTCCTTGTACTGATCAGAGGCCAACGTCCTCATAAAGTCACAGTGGCATGGTAAGGCCAGAGCGTCCTCCCTGGAAGCCTGGCCTGACTCCACAGCAGGGATACCACCTCCCTTCCACATTCCTCTCTTGGTAATTCTCCAAGGCTGTACCAACCTCCAGAGTTCACAAAGGCTCAGATGACTGATGTGTCTCTTTCCTCTACTATTTTTACAATGAATCCCTTACAAAAATGTGAAACTGACTTAGAATGACAGCTAGTCGTTCCTATCATGTTGTATCACATTGAAAAAGATTCCAAGATCACATCTTTGCTCGGTGGGAAAAAGGTGCTGTGATTGCTTAGCAATATCTGACACTGGTGAGGGACTGAAGGGGAGTGGGATCTTCCGCGCTATGCTTTGCTGTCTCTGGGATTGCACTGCAGACGTTTACACTTTCACATGCATCACCTCATTATGATTAGAACAACACTATGGCCCAGGAACAACGAGGATCGTTATCTACAAAAGGGGAGCATGCAAGTTAAGCGTGTCTTTTCCTAAGTCCCCCAAGTGGATCAGGGCCAGAGCCAGGATTAGACCCCAGATGTCCTGAGTCTCAGGCCAGCACAGGGAAGACACTTAGATCTGGGAACACTTGAGATCGACTCACTAAAGCATTCAAATGTCTTTAGAAAATGAGTGCTTAGCAAATCTTCCCCAGGCTGAACATTTGCTATTCTTTATGCGTATGTGTGGGATGCTGGCAGGAACAGAGCCTGTAGACGGGATGGGCTGCCCACGCAGAAGCCGAATGCCCCTCTGGTTGCTTGTAACTTTAAAAGAGGGCAGGCCTGGCTCCAACTTGCTCCAATTTCATCAAATCAGCAAGGCACCCCAGGAAGGAAAAAGGGACCACTTCAGAAACATCTGCAGGGAGCCACTCTGGATGGCTATTCAGTTACCATGGAAACCTACCCTTGGAAACTGCTTCAATTTCAGGAAAATAGCTACAAACAATAATAAGCATAAATGAAAAATGGTACACTGTTACTTCAAAATTGTACTTGTTATTGGATTTTGTTGGGTTTTCAGGGCTGAGCCTGCAGGCTCATATCCGTGAACACAGTGGAAGGCAGACATCTCTGCCTGGCTGCAGGCCTAATGATATAGCCCACACCCTCCCTCCCACTGCCCTAATCAAGTTTCTGGATGTGACCTCTGGCGAGGCATTTATCAGAGAAGCTGATGTCTAAATTGAGGGAGGAAGGAGGAAGCCTATTGCAGAAGGCAAACATTTGTTGAGTTGACTGGAAGGCAATGCAGCCATGTGGGAGGGAACATGGACAAGGGTGTATGGTGACTGCACGAGCTTTCTTCATCCGAGGCTGAACATTCACACAGACCTAAGTTAGAAATCTACAGAAATCAGGCAGCGGGAATAATAGCTGAGCTGGGAATTCCTGTTCTATTTCCTTTTCAAGGACTGTCAGGTTGGAAAGGACCTTATGAAGATGGCCTGGTCTGGCTCCTCCCCATGTGATGCTGCATTCTCTTGGCAACACTCTCACCAGATGATTACTGAGTATGTGCCTAGACTATGCTAAGAGTTATAATGTTTTCCCTGACATGGCTGAAATCTAACTCCCTGCCTGTAGCTTCTACTCACAGACAAATCAGCCCCCTTTTGGCAATGCCAACCCTTCAGCCATGTGGAGCCATGCTCCTGATGCCTCTGCGCTCTCTGTGCCCGACGTCAGGGATACCCTAATGGCTGTTCCCCTCAGCGCGCTCTCACATGGAGATATCTAAGGTGGAACCCAGACCCTAAGAGGGAAAGATTGTTGCTAACTGTGGGCTCCTAGATTATCCTTCAAAAATCACTTGTACAGATGCAGGCTTGCAAGCTTCCAGATCACTACATTTATCTGGACACCTGTTCTCTGGAAGCAGCAAAGGAAAGCAGGGAAAAAATGATAATCTATAGGGTCTGGAATATCACCTGTCAGAGCTGGTGCTCAATAAATGTTGCCTGGACCAGAGGATACCCACCAAACAGATGATTAAAACTAAGGGTCAGAGAAGGTGGCTGACTTACCCATGATCACCAGGTAGAGGACAAGAGTACCAGCATCCTGCTCCCCAGCCTCTTTGCTTCCCACAGGGAGGCCACTGTGCCCTGGACACCCAAGTCCTGAGCCTATGAACGAGGACCAGGGACTACTGGATCCTCTTAGCACCCCAGGGACCATTCTCAATGTGTGCTTGAGTCAGGTCTGACATGACAACCCACCCCAGAACACCCCCTGAATCCCACCAAAGATATGTGGAACTCCTTGGAAATGGAGAAGGCAGGGAGGGTCTGGGGACTCCCAGAAAGAAAAGCATTTTGGTAACCGCCCCTAGATTCTGGATTAGCCTTCAGGGCAAGGGTCTGGTGAGTAACAATGACAGCCTTTTGGGGCTAGATCCCTTTGTAGAAACTTACAGCAAAAGGAAGTCACAAAGAGTATCAACCAAACCTTCTAGATTATGTCATCAACACAGACCCTGATTGAAGGGAAATGGCCTGTGTCTACCAGAGAAGGCTACCAGTATCCCAAGAACTGTCTCTTCCAACACAGCAGGAGGGAAGTCCCCTCCTCCAGACACCAGGGAACAGCAGTAGCAAGGCACAGGCAGGCAGTGGAGTATGGGGACAAGGAGGGACAAAGGGGGATAAGGGCCCTGAGGCTGTGGGAGGAGGTGGCGGGAGTGTGGATGGAGGGGGGCGGGGTCTGACTCACCAGGCTGTGCATGATGCGCACGCCATCTGGGTTCACTGTGAGCGCCTCCTTGTACAGCTGCTTGGCCTCCTCCAGGCTGCCCTTCACCTCGGCCAGCCGGCCCCGCATATATAGTACTGAGTGAGAAGTGGGGAAGAGGCCTGCTGCCTCCTGGATGCAGAAACCTGCTTCCTTGAGGTGCTTCTGCTCCATGAACAGCTCAGCTGCAAAACCAGAAGGGCAGTGGGAGGTGTGAGCTGTGGGGAGTCAGAGGCATCCTGACCCCCTCCCTGCATCCTCAGAGCTGGGGAACCGGTCTTAGGTGACGAACACTATCCCACCGAGTCACAGCATGGGGAACACTGACTATGGGATGTAGTGGGAACAACAGTTTCTGAGAGCTTCCTCTGTGTCAGGCACCTTGCTAAGTGCCAGTCAATGGCACCAAGATCGTCCCAGTTAATGCTCACAAAAATCCTGTAGAACAAGCTTTTTTTTTTTTGAGACAGGGTCTCCTTTGTCAACCAGGCTGGAGTGCACTGATGTGACCAAGGCTCACTGCCGCCTTTTCTAAAAAAAAATTAATTTATTTATTTAGAGACAGAGTCTCCCTCTGTTGTCCAGGCTGCAGTGCAGTGGCACAATCTCAGCTCACTGTAACCTCTGCCCCCCTGGGTTCAAGTGATTTTCCTGTCTTAGCCTCCCGAGTAGCTGGGATTACAGGCATGCACCACCATGCCTGGCTAATTTTTGTATTTTTGGTAGAGAGGCTCAGGCTGGTCTCGAACTCCTGGCCTCAAGTGATCTGCCCACCTTAGCCTCCCAAAGTGCTAGGATTACAAGCGTGAGCCACTATGCTCGGCCTCACTGCAGCCTTGACCTCTTGGGCTCAAGCAATCCTCCCACCTCAGTCTCCTGAGTAGCTGGGACTACAGACATGTGCCAACATGCCCAGATAATTTTTGTATTTTTGGTAGAGATGGGCTTTTGCCATGTTGCCCAGGCTGGTCTTGAACTCCTGGGCTCAAGAGATCCTCCCATTTCAGCCTCTCAAAGTGCTGAGATAATAGGCATGAGAAACCACACCCTGCACAAGTACTTTTATTACCCCACTTTAGAGGGGCAAAAACTGGGCACAGAGGGGTCAAGGCATTGGACTAAGGCCACAGTGGGAGTAAGTGGTGAAGCCAGGGTTTGCATTGGGCTGTTTGACTTCAGAACCTGGTGAGGGGACATGGCGTCCCCTGAGCTAAAAGCTTGCTCAGGTGACTGCAGCCTCTTTTTCAGTGTCCCTTCACTTCCTTTGTTCATTGCATGTCCAGGGAAAAGGGGACGGAAGCAGACCAGGGAGCTCTCTTTGGGTCCCTTGGTCTCCCAGGCAGGGGCTGACTGAAGGTGGGTATGTGCTCAGAGCCAGGGAGAACCAAATGACCCTGCCAAAGATAGGGTGGGAGGATGAGGGAGAAGAGGCTCAGGGGCAAACGAGGGCACAAACCAAGCATTGTTGGTAACAGCTACAGAAACCTCCCCTGCGCTGATGGAGAGCTGATGGGCCAAGCCTGGGTTTGGGAAACATTTTCTCATTAATCCTGACAGCAAGTCTTGGAAGGAGGCATAATCCTCACTTAAAAAATGCAGGTGGCCGGGCGCCATGGCTCACGCCTGTAGTCCCACCACTTTGGGAGGCCAAGGTGGGTAGATCACGAGGTCAGGAGTTCAAGACCAGCCTGGCCAGGATGGTGAAACCTTGTATCTACTAAAAATACAAAAAAAATTAGCTGGGCATGGTGGCGGGTGCCTGTGATCCCAGTACTCGGGAGGCTGAGGCAGAGAGTTGATTGAATCTGGGAGGTGGAGGTTGTGGTGAACTGAGATAGTGCCACTGTGCTCCAGCCTGGGTGACAAAGCCAGACTCCATCTCAAAAAAAAAAAAAAAAAAAAAAAAAAAAAAAAAAAAAGCAGGCTTAGGAAGTGAGGACCCCGCCCCATTCCCTCACTGAGAAAGGGCAAAGCCAGGGCTGGACTCCCCAGCAGTTCCGTGGCCTCCCTCCAAAGCAGACACACACCCCTTTGGGCCAGCAGGCAGGAGAGAATCTGTCCTGGAACCAGAGGAGTAGGGAATGGGGCACTTTCTCCAATCCAGGCCAGCCCACACACACACACATTTCAGACCCACGGGCACACCCCACACTAAGGCACTTTAGGAGACGCGGCTCTTCAGCCTCACTGGGCACTCAGCCTTTGTCCAAAGCAGCCCCCAGGCTTGGCAGCCCACTCCTGGGGCCTAGCCTATGCTGAAGGCACAGAAGGATCAAGATACAGACGGGGAACGCAGAAGGGCCAGCAGAGTCTGACTTGTGGTTTTGCCAAGAACTCTGCCTAGCAAAAGCTGACAGCTGAGGTTACCCTAGTTCAGATTATGTCTGGGGTGGAGAGAGAACAGATATGCCCAAGGGAATCTCCCAGAAAGAGGTGGAGAAACCAGGCCCAGACATTCTCTCTTCCTGTCCCAATAGGCAGCAGGAGAGGCCTAACTAAGGCCTTGACTGCAACACAGGCACTGGGGTACATAGCACGAGCACTGCCTAAGGTTCATTGTGCAACCCGAGTAGCCTGCCATATCCTAAAATACAACGCTTTCTGAGTGAGAAGACTCTTTTTCTCTAGTGGAGGTGATAACTTGGGAGGATCAGAGAATTAAACACAGAGAAGCCAGGCTTTCCGGATATGGGAGAGAAATGCGGGCCCTAGCCCCTGGGGACAGCCTGAAATAGAGATTCCCAAGGCAGAGAGCACAGGAAATGGGGGCTTTGAACCCAGGGGCAGATGGCTGGTGGGGGGAGGGGTCAGAGATTTGGTTATCTCAGCCTCAGCTCTCCCTCTCTGCTTTGCTGTTGAGCTGCTGCTGGGGCGTCTGAACGGAGTGCTTAACATACAACTATTGAATACTGACTACGTGCCTCGTCTCCCCATGAGGAGGAGAAAGAGTGGGGGCAGGGGTGGGAGCAGCTGAACCACTAAACCACTTGAGAGACCAGGGCAGTGGAATGACAAGTGCCACATCTGAGTGTTATGGGTACTCAAGAGGTGCCAGGTCGGTGCTGCTGGTGTGGTCAGGGAAGTCTTCCTGAGGGAGGTGGCATCGGAGCTGGAGCCTGAAGGCTGCAGAGGCCTTTGGACTAAGAGGACAAGGAAGGTGGGCTGGGCTCCACTGTGGCAGAATCCCCCAGGGTCACGAGAGAGGAGAAGCAGAAGGAAGTGTGTGGGTGTCACTTCTGCAGGGTGGCTGCTTCCTCCATCGCCAGAAGCTCAGTTTAGCTGAGGGCCCAGGGGTCAAGCTCCCCACTCCCCTGGACCACTTGGCCCTGGCACAGCTCATTAAGCTGTTTACAACTTGCTGCCCTGTCTCCAGAGGCTGCCCCTGGTCCCTCCCTTGGGGACCCCTCATAGTGCATTCACATCAAGAGATTTTAATTAAAGGGCACCCCACCCAATCCCAATCCGTCTTGCCTCGGGGCCCTGGGTATTCCAGAGGCCTGGGCCTTGCTGGGCTGGCCACACACCAGAGAACACATCCTGAAGAACTGTAGGGCTGTTCCACTGACAGGCTCCATCCCCAGTTAGACAGGAAACCAGAAGACACAGACCAGAGCCCAGGGAAGCCTCCCGTGGGCTTCTGGAGGCCTGGCAGACAGTGCCCAGCAGGGCCAGCCTCCAGGGTAGGCCTCTGACCTGCAGACAGGCCCACAGGTCTGGGGTGACAGTGCACCACCCCTTGCTAGTCTCAGTATCCCTGAGCAGATGCCTTCGGCTCCTGCTCGACGCTTTGCCAGCCATGGTCAGACGGCTGCAGGAGCCCTGGGACACCGCATCCACCCACGGCCCTGATCCTTCCCAGCCCGGCCCTGGCTGCCAGGTCCCAGTGGTGCCCACACCTATTCCAGCATCCTCTGGCCAGGGCACCACATTTTCCTTGAATTTTCATTGTCGAGGTCATCAGCCCAGCACACAGGACCTTGCTTCACCCTTAGCGTCAAGAGGCCCCTCCGTTCCTTCACTCTCTCTTCCCCTTTCTGATTTTCTCTCTGCTCTCATCATCCTCCTGCCTACCCCCTGACCTCTTCTCTTGCTTGTCTGTCTCCGGTTTTCTTCCTCTTCCCTACATCTCTCTCCACCCCTCTCCCCTCTGTGCTTTCTCTCGGCAGGCTACAAATGGAAAACATCTGTTCCCTGGAGCTTTGCAAGAGGCCCTTTTATTATTATTATTTTTTTTTGAGGCATCCTGGTCTAACCCTGCACCCAGAGCTGATTCCAGTCTTCCTAGCAAAGCCGAGGCTCTCCCACCCCAGGCAGGGGGATGGGCCCACTTTCCATACCCTCTTTGCAGGGAGGGCCTTGCCCGCAGGCTGGCCCTGTGCTGATGAGCAGGGTACAGAGAGCCTGGGCCCACCCCTAAGGCCTCTTAGGGCCTCCCCAGGTGAGTGTGCTTCCTACAGAGACCCTCCCCCTGACTTCAGAGAGGTGAGCCACAGGGCAGTAGAAAAATAGATTAGGCCCCCCAAAGAAATTCACCGTGGCTAGCCTTGATCCTCAGTGGGGGCCATTTTGGTGACCCAAAGGAAATAAGCATCAGTCGCTCAGAGCACATGAATGCCCAGGAAAAGGAAGGTGGGGAGAGGGCAAGGGAGGAAGGAGAGTGAAGACCAAGGGGGCTAGAATGGAGAACGCCCAGGCCAACACAGAGAATCCAAAGGTCTGCAGGGAGTTCTCAGGTTGGTCTGAGATCCTCCATCCCTGGGACCCAGAGGGCACAAGGCAGTCAGGGGCTGCATGGGCCTGTTCTGAGTGGCCTCGCTGACTCGGGAAGCTGGGAGGAGTGAAGAAAAAGCTGGAGCTAGGGAAGAGGAGGACGTGGGAAGAAGGCACTGAATAAAGACAGGAGGGGGCAGGAAGGATGACAAAGAGTAGAGGAGCATGCAGGACCAAGGACGAACGCCAGCTTCTCCCTGGACTATGGCTTCATCATAAACACCTGCTTCAGCCACAGCACTGGCCACCCCACCCCAGACCCCAACTCTGCCCAGGAGACACCTGGGGTGGCCTCCAACTGCAGGCCAGGACACCAGCACCAGACCACAGGAGTCTGGCATCGGGGAGCTGAGACTCAGGCCAGCTTCCCCTAAACCTAGAGAAAGCCCAGAGCTGCCCACGAGCCCCTGGACCTCCAGGACAGGGGAACTCTCCCTACATGCGTCTCCCACTCTGGTGCACTGTGAGCTCCCAGAGCCATGACCTGAGATCATGGGGGGTCATGGGGGATGAAGGGGTGGTTCTTGCTTTTAGGGAAAGCACCTCTCTCAACACTCAGATCTTGGAGCGTCTATGGGACTCTGTGCCTCTCTCACTTTCACAAAGACCCGCTGCCCGAGAGGCACTGCCCTGCAGTCTCTCAAGTGGGTACCATTCATCAGCTTCTCATACTGGACTGGAACTGGAAGGAGGCTTGAAGAAGGGAGGGGAGGAGGGCAAGAGATGAGAGAGGAAGGCTACGACAGTCCCTTTGAATTCAACTAAAGAGTGAATTCATGATGGAACTTACTGCCAAACAGATTGGGATGCAATTTATCTTGAACCAAACCAGGGGGATTAGCTCCTTCCAAAATGATCAAGACATCTTTTTCCCTTCCTGCAAATTTGCTGCAGCTGGTGGAGTCATTAGGCAGGGTGGGAGGGGGTGGGGATGCTGATCATATTCTTAGCCTGGGTCAGGTTGGGGAGGCGGTTTAGGGAGATCATTGCCCTGGTGATCTGGTCCTGGCAGCCCTCCATTCAACAGGTGCTTGGTAGATGCTTGCTAGTGATGATGGCAGCCAGGGGAGGGGAGAGGGCTCAGGGGGTGCAAATTACCCTGGAATTCTCTCATGCTCAGAATGAAAGAGCCAGGACACCTTCTCATGTTCATTTCTTGGCTGTGGCGGCTATGCACCAGTCACCAGTCTACTCTCCCCTTCTTCTAGCAGGATAGATCCCCCCCCGGCTTTTTTTTTGAGACAGGGTCTCACTCCCATTGCCCAGGCTGGCATGCAGTGGCACAGTCTCAGTTCACTGCAGCCTCAACTTCCCAGGCTCAAGTGATCCTCCCATCTCAGCCTCCAGAGTAGCTGGGACTACAGGCATGCACCACCATGCCCAGATAATTTTTTTTGTATTTTCAGTAGAGATGGGGTTTTACCATGTTGCCTGGGTTGGTCTTGAACTTCTGGGCTCAAGCCATCTGCCTGCCTCGGCCTCCCAAAGTGCTTGGATTACAGGCATGAGCCACTGTGCCCAGCCTGATGCCCTGACTTTTAATGGGACACCCGGAATAATGACATCTGCCAGAGCCCTCTGCAGTTAGAGGCAGTCAAATAACTAAGTTCTGGCCAATGGATCATGAGGGGAGGTGATGTGTGCCAATTCCAGGACATGTCCTTATAGGGAAGGGGGTGCCTTTCTTCCTTGTTAATCGTTTGCCTTGGAATGTGAATGTGGCAGAGAGCCATCCTGGACCACACGGACGACAGTGATACCCTAGGGACAGAAAAGTCACTGTCCCAGTCAAGGCTGTCATCTCTCAACTGTTACATGAGAAAGAAATAGGCATCCACCTTGTGCAAGACACTGCTATTTTGGATCTGTTCTTACATGCACCCACACTGGTCTCCTAATACTACACTGCCTGACCCTGACGCGGCGCCACTTTCAAAGCATTCAGATGCTGTTCTCGGAGTTCTCTCCTGTGGAGTGAATACCTAAGATAACGACCAGAGAAGAAAGGCTCATATGCGAATGATTGAAGAGCGTGTGTTTCTACTGACATTCCCAAGTCTGGTTACAGGCTTCAGGAGGGCCTTTAACCTTACTTGGAGTTACCAGAACATGCTAGTATCCCTAGTATACAGCAATACACAGTCTGAAAACTGCAAGCAAGCTTGTGATGATGGTAGTAAACAAACAAGACAAATCAGGCCAGGCGCGGTGGCTCATGCCTATAATCCCAGCACTTTGGGAGGCCAAGGTGGGTGGATCACATCAGGTGAGGAGTTCCAAACCAGCGTGGCCAACATGGTGAAACCCCATCTCTACTAAAAATACACAAAAAATTAGCCAGGCACGGTGGCGCACACCTGTAGTCCCAGCACTCAGGAGGCTGAGGTGGGAGAATCACTTGAACCTGGGAGGTGGAGGTTGCAGTGAGCTGAGATTGCACCACTGCACTCCAGCCTGGGCCACAGAGTGAGACTCTGACTCAAAAAACCAACCAGCCAACCAACCAACCAACCAACCAACCAGCCAGCCAGCCAACCAACCAACCAAACAAAAAAACACCAACCGCCCCCAGCAAAAAAAAAAAAAAAAAACAAAAACCAAGGCAAGTGATTCAAACAAAAGGCCTGGGAGCTCCGGCACAGGAAACCCACAACTGCAGAATCCGATCACTGTGTCATGCTGCATTCCTTAAAGCTGCTGAAGCCCCCAGCATGGGTGCGAATCTGGGGGGGCTGGGGCTCCATGCAGCCCCTTGGAAGTTGGAAGTCATTATTTTAGTCTTAGAAGTCTTAGAAGATGTCATAGAAGTCTTAGAAGTCATTAGAAGTCTTAGAAGAAGACGGGAATCTTTGCTTAAGGCAAAGCCTTGTTTACTATTCCTCTGGATTTTTCAACATCCCTCTTCCTACTTAAGACCCAACAAGCTGACTGTGGAGCAAGTGCAGCCTCCGAGGGCACCCTGAGCTGCTAACTGGGCAGTTTCTGCATTGTTAAACTGCTCCCATGTCTAGCTGTCCTGTGAATCCTGTCCAGTGTTTTTTGCAGATTCAGAACCTACAGTGGGGAGAGTGGGGGTGTACTGCATACTAATGTGTCCATATGTGAGGAACATGCAGTGGGAAACCTTAGATTCTCAGCTAACAAGCACATTCTGACTCTGACTTCCCAAATCCCCATGTCCCAGTAACAGATCATCATTTCGGTTTCTTCTCCAACTCCCCCTAGGGACAACAGCGCACCCCCATGATGGGGAAGGAGCAGAGAGGAGGGTAATCAGAGAAAATGCAAGAGGTGCTCCTGGGCCCAGAACTTCGATTGGGCAGCTCTAGGCCAAGGGGGTGTGTTGGCCTGGGGTACTTTAGGGGTCCATTTAGCCTATCCTCCTCCTCTCTCTTCTGCTGCCATTTTATTTCATTCAGGTACTTGTCATCTTTGGCCTTGGTTCTCTCTCTTTCCACTCTGATCCACCTCTCACACCACTGTCAGGGTAAATTTTCAAAACTCTTGGCAGCGAGTCCCTCCCGGGCATTCATCAGCTGGTGTTAGGACACTCGCTGTCCATGGGGCCATGCTGCCTCTTCCTCCATCATGACTGCCATGGACAAGACACAAGCCAAACACCTTTTGCTGAGCACTTGTAATGGCCACCCTGACTGTGTCACACACTGGCTCGTTTCAGATCAGGGCTAGCCAATTGTGGGCCGCCTTCAGAACCCAGGTCTGTGGGACTCTGGAGCCAGGCTTCCTGCAGCGTGCCTCCTCAACACTGGCTGGCCTTCAGACTGACTCCTGGTGGCAATGGTACCACTTAGTTACCAACAGGGACTGTCACCTGAATGGCAACCTCAAAGTTACCAGTCTTTCCTCCACCTTCAATGAATTCTAACCCCAGCCCTCTCTTTCTTGGGGCCTCCACACCTCCCCTCTCTGAGCTCTCTAGGGTTTGAAGCCCGTTTTTGAGACCAAGACAACTGTCCATCTATGTGGCCTCTCAGGACCTCCGATCCTCTCATGTTTGGGTTTGCTGCCAGGGAAGCTCTCCCAGGCAGGGAGGTAGACACCATCTCCACTGGGCAGAGAAGGAGACGCACTGCCAGAGGCGAGGACTCCGTAATCTGTGTGGGCCTAGCAAGGAGTCCCCACCTCCCCACACTCCCTTCTCCAGGACAGGGTTCCGAGAGCATGGGTAGCCTGCAGACAGGCTGCGTGTGTCACTGGGACTAGGGCACTCACCAGCCTGCAGCCAGATCTGTTCCAGCGTGGTCCATAGCTGCATGGGGCCCTGCTTCAGGACCGAAGAGGGCATAGTCAGCTCTGACATGGCCTCCTCCAGCCGGGAGGCTGCGATGGATGAAGCCCGCCGGGAGCCTGCAGAGCAAGAGAGCACGAGCTGAGCAGTGGTCAGAGGTCCACATGTTGCAGGCTCCAGGAGCAGTCATTGCCCAGCACCATGGGGAGACAGGGTACCCCGAAACAGGGTGGTGTGGCTGGGCAGCCAGAAAACAGCTCACAGACCTACTAGGGAGGGTCCACTATGTCCTCTCACCCACAGCTGGGGAGGGTAGCTCTTTAGAGGACAATAAGGCAGAGATCTCACTAGGAATCTATTCCTAGGAAAACAATAATGTCAACAAAGATGCTCTTTACGTGAACACAACAGAAATGACCTCAGTGTCCAACAATAGGGACTGATTAAAAATAAGTGGGGGTATAATCATCCCAGACTCTGCGGTCATTAAAATAACAAAGTACAAATACAGATATCAATGTAGAAAGATGTTTGTACTATATAGTTAGGTGAAAACAAGCAAGTTACAAAAGAACAGGACCACATTTTTATAAAAAAGAAATATGGGCATGGAAAAAAGTCTGAAAGGTCATTTATTAAGGTCTAAGTGGTGAAATTAGGAGTGATTTTTCTTTTCTTCCGTTGGCTATTTTCACTCTGTTTTCACAAGTGCATATTCTCATTTGTTTGTAGAAAGGTCCCCATTCAAGGCTGTGCTGAGAAGGACCCTTAGATCGCAGCTCAAGTCAGAATACTGCCCTCTGGAAAACCTCTCCCAGTGGCAGTTCTGGGTGACATGGGCTCCGGTTCAGGCTACATAAGCTGTTGACATTTATAATTCCCATGCAGGTGAAATGTGAGCACTTTCTCTCTCTCTGTCACAGAGGCAATAAAGGCTCCAATAAACTCAGGAGACCTCAGGGCAAACCACGGATGACTTCAGTTCATGAGACAAGTGTACGTGGAGTCCTAATAACTTTGTTCATGATTCTTCCCTCTTTAATTGCCAGGGAGCTACCATTCCCCCCTACCTTAACCATTCCCTCCTGGGAGACAGAAGCTCTGCATACAGCCATACACCCCTGAGATGTGCCTCTAAAGTCAGGTGCTAGGTTTGGCTTCTGAAATCAACTCTGTCACCTGACAACAAAGGTGCAACTTGGCTCAAGGCCACAGAAGTGAAAAAAAAACGAGCAATTCCACTAGATACAACTCCACTCACACTTTCCTTCCCATGACTCATTCTTGTGTTTTTGATGAAGGCGTTCTGCTTTAAGCAGGTCCTCAGTTGAAAAATGTAAGTCTGCAGTTCCTGAACTCATTTGAATTTCACAAGCCATGGCTTTCTGGATGAGTTTTTCCAGCAAAGAGTCTGCTTTCAGCTTAGAATTGTAAAGAGCTCAGTTCATTCCTTTATATTTGACTTGATCTGCCGAGGATATTAGGTGGACTGTGGCCTCTGGCTTGAGCCTAAGGGGAAATGGTTTCTGTGCTCCACAGCCACCTTTCCAGCCAGGCTCCTCTTTCTTCACCCCCATGCAGGAGGCAGGGTTCCTCCCCTGCCCACCACCTGCTGTGGGACCAGCAGCCAGCCCCTACCCAGAGCCAAGATCAGCCCTAGAAGTTGCCCAAGGGTAGTTCCTTAGCACCTGGGCAGCAGCTGGCAAGGAGCCAGTGGTGGGCTTGGCCCGGCCAGGAGGTGCCCCTCTCCATGTTGGCGCTCTCAAGCTGGGAGTGTGAGCTGTGGGTCCATGCACACAGCTGCCCAAGGAGTTCATTCTTACCAGAGTCTGCATCATGGGCATCAGGCAAAGTCAGGTGCATGCCACTCTGCTTCTTCATGGTGAGGCCCTCACCGAGGCTACCATCCTTTTCCAGGCCTCTAGAAGGCAAAAGAGGGCCAGGGTCCGGTAAGGTAGAGGGCTAGCGTCACGGGGACTGACAGGGAGAATGGGACAGCCTCACTCTAGGCAGGCTCTGGGGCTGTGGGTTCAGTCCCAAAGACAGAGCTGAAGTCACCAATATCACCAGAGAGGCAGAAGGGATCAACATAGGTAGCATGCCACACAGGCTGAGGCCTGGAAACTCTCCCACCCTCCCTACTGTCTTCTCTGAAGTGGGTAAGGTCAGAAGCTCCCCAGGCCAGGGGGAGCAACATCCAGCAGAGTGCCAGGCAGAGAGTGGCGACTGTGGACTGACTGCCAAGGAAAGCCTGGTCCTGACAGGGCACCAGAAGTGCTGCAACCCCCAAACCCCTGTGGCAAAAGGGCCCAGATGCCACCCCCTGCCTCAGGCTTCCATTCCTTGGGCTGCCAGGGTGTCCCCAGAGGAGCCAGCAGAGGCCCCTGGGGTGGCAGATTAAATAGTCATGGAGATCCCATCTTGTCCCCCAACCCCTGTCCCCAATTTCCCAGATCCCTGCTGCTATACTGCTGGCGGGGGGAGGGGTTCCTCTTTTCACAGAGTGGGGGCTGGGGGGAACCAGGAAATAGCCTCCAGCTTAAGCCTGCCGTGGCCATCCTGGGGCACAAGCAGTCCCAGCCAACACATTCCCACTGCCGAGGAAGCCCACAACCTTTGACCCTGTCAACTGGGGAAACTTAGAGAAGAGAAGCAGAAGGCACAGGAGAGGAGGAGGCAGGGCAAGAAGGTTTCTTTCCTTCAGAGAAGCACCAAGATGATGATCCCACAAAGAATACCAGGGGTGTCCTTGCCATCCTAACTCAGACTCACATTGGCTTCAACTTGGGCCTGGGAATTTTAGTGGGCATGAGAGGAAACCATGTATAAAACCACAATGGCTCTGGGCTGGTTCCCTTCCTCTCCCACCCAGTCCCATTCCCAGGAGGCACAAAGTGTGGTGCAAAAAAGCCAGAGACAGGCCAGGCATGGTGGCTCATGCCCGTAATCCCAGTACTTTGGGAGGCTGAGGCAGGAGGATCACCTGAGGGCAACAGTTCAACAACAGCTTGAAAAACACAGTGTGACCCCATCTCTACAAAAAATGTTTAAATTAACCAGACATGGTGGTGAGTGCCTGTAGTTCCAGCTATTTGGGAGGCTGAGGCAGGAGGATTGCTTAAGCCCAGGTGATAGAGGCTGCAGTGAGCTGTGATCACGCCACTGCACTCCAGCCTGGACAACAGGGCAAGACCCTGTCTCAGAAAAACAAAAACAATACAAAACAAAAAAGCCAGAAACACTAGGTTGGAATCATGGGCCACCCTTCTCAGCTTTGTGACCCTTGGCAATGCTACTTGACCTTTCTAAGTCTTAGGTTTCTCATCTTGAAAATGATTGTGAATGTCCATCACACAAGGTGGTCATGGGGAGTAAATGAGACAATGTGGGCAGATCTGGTGCAGGGCTGGCGTGAAGCAGGGCTGGGTACAGCTTCCCATCCTACTCTTTCTCCCATTCCGTGAAGGGGCCTTTCCCAGGGCTCCAGAAAGAGTCCATCTCCAGGACTACCCTTGGTTCTAGGCCAACATACAGCATGGTCCCTACCTTGAGGAACCTTACAGCCCAGATGGGGAGAAGGGACAGTTCAAGTTGAACAATCAGCAAAAACCCACTTGAGAGGGTTGAATGAAGCATTTTAGAGGCTGGGTGGTTGATGGCTCCATGAAGGAGGAGTATCTGGACAGGGCCTGAGGGGCAATTAGAACATGAGACCAGCAGTGTGGGGCTGGCCCAGGCAGAGCAGCGGAAGGTATGGCTGATAGTGAAGGTCTGCTAGGCCAGACCTGCAAGCTGTGGTCTTAAACCTTGGCTACCCCAAACTAGATTTTACCCCCAGTGTAGGGCAGGGTTATCTGGACCGGAAGCCTGGATCCAATATCCTCCTGGCTTTCCCAGGAGATAGGGAGGATTCTTTTCTGAACTTGGGGCCAGAGATCAGAAACCAGGGCTTGTAAAATCTAGTTTGGGGCAGCCAAGGAGAGGTACTTAGGGGCTTCCTGTTGTGAAAAGCCTGCAGTTCTGCTGCTCCAATGGAGGCACAGGCCAGGTCTTCAATGCTGGGAGACAAGGCTGCAGCTCAGAGGGGTCCCACCACGACTGACCACTTAGAGGAAGAGACAAGCAGCCATCCAGATAAGGATGCAGGAACAGAGCAGCCAGCTCCAGGGCAACCCCCTTGCAGGAGGGGAGCTGGGTTGTGCACCTGCTTGTGTGGCCACAGCCAGTGAGCAGGAGAAAAAGGTCATCAGAATGCAGGTCCCCTCACCCAGAGTGTGGCCCTCGGCCTCATGCATCCAGTTGCCAGGTGGCTTCACATTCCCATTCTGAAAAGTCCTTCAACCCCAGAGTGTCCTTCTGGCAGCTTCCACCCACTGGTCCTGCTCTGCCCTGGTCTCCCAGGCCTGCAAAGTGAGGGCTGACTCTGCCCAAGGTGTTTTACTCCATCAGATTACCCTCCTCTGTAAATTTCACTGTTACAGACGTTCCTCTGGGGAGTCTGGAAGCCTTCTGGGCTCCCAGAGTCTCTGTGAAAACACAAATACACACCAGGCGGGTGTCCCCTGAGGCCTCGGGGAGATGACACAGCCAGCTATCTCAAAGAAGGACAAGAGGATCAGGAAGAGGCAGGGCCCCTGACCTGCAGGAGGCCCTCTTTCCCTTTGGGCCACATAGGCTAAGCCTAGGAGTCTCATTGGGTTTGAGCAAAGACCTTCTGCAGATTCAGCCTGGACATGACTGCCCTGCTCTGGCCCATGAAAGATCCAGATCCCAGGCCAGGGTCTCTGGCAGGAGACAGGAGGTATGAAGAGCGTGGGTGATTAGGGAAGAAGGGGTGGCCCTTCAGGACTCCACCTCCTCCTCCTCTTCTAGCCTCCAAATGGAATGAGGAAAGAAGTGACAGCCTCCATGGGCTGGAACTCAGGAGACCCAGGTTCAAGTCCCAGCACTACCACTTACCAGGCGAGTGATTCTGGTAAGCTATATATAAAGTCTCTGTGTCTGAGTTTCCTCACTGGGCTGGGAATAAAATCTGATAATGCATAAGCTGTAAGCAGCTGAGGTATAAGATAAAGGAACAAGCCCAGCACCCAGCTCCAGCGCTCAAGAATGATTTCTCTTCCTTCTTACCACTCCTCAACCTCAATGTCCTACCCAGGGTCTCTATGTACTTCATAGAGGACTGTCAGGAGGTTCAAATTGGACTACGGATGTGAAAAGCTCCGTGGGCAAGAAGTTCCATGCTTTCATTCAACAGCCTCCCTCTCCTCCCCATCTTGGCAGGCATGGCGGCCACCCAGCTGTGGACTGATGCCCTGGCAACCACCCTCTGGCAACCCAAGAGACGACGACGGCCACTCACCCCAGCTGGGAGAAGCTGTACAGGGTCTGCCACAGCCGCAGCATTTGTCTGCAGGTCACGAGGGCTTCCTCTGGGCCTTTCAGCGCCTGCTCCAGCTTCACCTTGGTGAACATCAGGCTGTGGGGAGGGAGCGGCCATCAGCACACCCCAGCGAGGGCCCACTTTCACCTGAGGATCCTGCCCCACCAGGACGGCCCCACATGCCCACCTCCCCAGCTCGCAGAAGGCAGAGTGCCATGAGGGCGGCAGCCTCTGCCAGGCCCCTGGACCACTTGCTTTCTCTCTGTGCCTTTTTCCCATCTTGGCTGCCAAAGTATGAAGCACCCCATGAAGCATTGTCAGTGCCCACACTGCTGATGCCCCGTGTCCCCTGACCACGTGCCATCCTGCCCATCTCTGAAGCACTGCCCTGTGAGGTCTTGCTCGGTTTGCTCTTCCTACCCACATCCTCCACTAAGCAACGCCCTGTGCCTACTGAACGTGGGACCAGGCTTACACTCACATTCCCCACAGGGCCCAGCCTGGGACCTTGGATAAGAGACCCGTCCAGACAGTGACTTAGAATCCATGAGTGAAGGTAGAGCAAGGAACTGGCAAGGAGGTCCCCTAAGGACAGAGCTCCGCTTCCCACCTTGCCAGCCACAATAGTATAGGTGCCCAAGCAACACCTCCTAAGTGGAACTGCAAAGTTTGCTTCCTGACCCTGGAGATACACAAAGAAGGCGGTGTTATGCTTTATCAAAGGATTCTTTCTTGGATTTCCCAAAATAGCCAGCTCCCCTTACATAATCGATAGGATTAAAGTGACGTGAAATCCTTTTCAATCACCATTTAGGGACAGTTACTGTGCAATGAAAGCAAGCAACTTCAGAATTTCTTTCGACCTGAAAACCTGAAGTCCTCTGAGGTAAGACCAGTGTGGGGAGTGGCCCTTAGAATGGCTGAGAAGAAGAGCTGGTCCCACCTGGAGGCAGGACCCCAGGAGGGGTGGCTGGCTCCCTCCCTCTGCCCTGGACACAGCAGGCACAGCCAGAATGCTTCTCACAGGCCAGTCACGACACTTGTTCATCAAGAGCTGGGGTGGAGCCCTGGAGGCCCTGCTGTGACTGGTGTTGGCCCTTCAGATGCTGGGGAGGTCTGGGGGTTCTGGAGGGGTCCAGGCAGTGGTTATATAGCAAAAATTGGAAGTCCAGCCATATTTTCACCTTGGTACTGCCAGCAGTACCAACACACACCAGCTGCCTGGGCAGCCTTCGGAGAGTTTGAACCACTGAGGGCCAGACAGTAGCACCTCCCGCTTCTCACCAGTGGTTGAGTAGTGAGGCCCTTTCTTCTCAACACCACTGAGGAGCAAGACCACGGGACTGTCAGGCCCTGCACTTGAACACTGCCCGGTGGTTCTACCAGCCCGCCCGAGGGTAGCACACAGGCCTGCTCCATCGGAGGGTCCCCACCCAGACTACGAAGGCTGCAGGCGCCACCTGGCGAGGCCAGGCCTGGCCCTGGCAGCTGCTCCTCTGATCTCTCTCAGTTGGGCCTCTGCCCTGAGACCTGGGCTCCCAGCTTCATAAAGCCCTCTGATGTCCTTATTCTCTGCCTGTCTTTCCACACTTTGTCTCTTAGATTGCAACTTGGTAGAGAATGAAGAGGGTGGAATTTGCCCCAGGATCTTCAGAAGAGGGGATTTCTAGACAAGAATTTTTCTTCCTCACTGCATCCCCCAAATGCCTTTCCTGACCCTGCACACAGGTTGCCCCTCAGATACCACCTCTTCTCTTCATTTTCATCCATCCCAAGCCTGGCTTTAAATCCCATCTCTCTCAATTCTTAGGATGCCCTGCACCCGTCTTGGAACATAACTAAGGACCACCTGGCTTGCCTATCAGGTCCCAAGGGCAGAAACTGGGATCAACCTAGCATGGACTGCACAGACCCGAGTGCACAGTCAGCACAGGACACAGCCCTGAGTAGGAATGACCCCAGTGGGCAACTGCTGGGGACAACTGGTCCTGCCACTGTACTCTCCTTCCCCAGGTTTGCAAAGGATCCAACACTCCACAAGTACCAGGGGCCTCTGCTTTCAGGAATATGAAGAAGAAAACACAATGGCTGCCTGTGAGACAACAATTAGAGCACTATAAATGACACATTGACCAGAGAATCAAGGGCTGTATTTTTGGATCAGACTCAGTGCAGGGGAAGAAACAGGAAAGGGATCTTACTGGAGCTGGTGTTTGGTGAAAAGCAGGGTGGAGTGGGATTTGGCTGGGAGCTGGGGAGAGAGAAGAGGCTGGGGTGTGGAAGGTGGGGCAGCTGGTTGGAGCAGTAGGTGTCAGTGAGGTGGGAAAGCCCCTCCCTCAGACAGCCAAGTCCCCTGGGCTGGGCTGATTCCTGGGGACAGCTCCCTGGGCAGGCCAGCCCTGCTGCATTCCCCGGGCCCTCTGCAGGCACTGCCTCTTCAGCACGCTTCTCTCTGCCAGAGCTCCCTTCTCACTTTCTTCATCTTTGAGGGCCGGAATGGGTCTAGGGCAGACCCGACCACACCATGTGCCTGGCAAAGAAGTGGCTGAAAACTGAGCTGGCATCACAGTAAGTTCTACCAAAGGCAGGCTGTACCTTCGCAGCTGCTGACATTCCATTAGCATGAGTGGCCCAGAGCGGATTTTCTCAACCCAACCGCATCCTTTCTGGGCTGGGGCAAGTGCTCCACCAGTCACTCTGGTCTGATCTTTCACTCCAGGATCCTGGGAGGATCCAGATTTGTTCCTGAGATTTCCTCGGGCTGGCAGGTAAGCGCTGCCAGAGGGATTTTCCTCCACAAAGAGCCCTGCCCCGTGGTCCTCGCCTTCTGTGCCTCTGTGTGGCCTTCACAGCCTTCCTGCTCTGGCTCTACCCTCCCTTCCTGCAATCCTCCCCATGACCTTGGGTGCTGGTACACTGATCACATGGGTGTTAGCAGCTCCCTGAGCCTCGGAATAGGCTCCCGGACTCGTTGTGCTGTGCTTGTGCTGTAGCCTCTGCTGAGATCACCCTTCCCCCTCTGATACCCAGCCAGCTCCTAACCAGATGTCACCCTCTGGCTTTCTGTGTCCCCATGGGGGCTGTGCACACCCCCATCCTGATGTCAGGATGTGGTTATCTGCGCCTCTGCTGGCTTGTCTCTAGTTCACTGCAGAACTTTCTCCTGCTCCCAACAGGGATCAGCAAACAACTCCACCCCCTCAGAAGAAGCGACTCAGCTGCTCTTCTAAGGAGCACAGGCCCCTCTCCATCCTGTCCACTGCAACAGGTAGCTGCTGCCCACTCACCCACCTATCAATGCCTAGCCCATGTCTTCAGGAAGCAAGAAGCCTGGCGGAGCCCTGGCATGCCGTCAGGGCTGGTGGGTGACATTCTGGGGCCCTCACAGCCAGGAGGAATCGAAGCTGTGGCCACAGCCTCATCAGAACGCTGTGACTCCTGCGCGAAGCTGAGGGGAGGCTGCTGGCAGCTGGGGCTGGGGATAGAGTAGGCAAGCCTGGGCTCCCCTTCCCCTTGCTTATCTGTCTTATAAACTAACTGAGCCTAAAACACCACTTAAATAAAGGATTCTGAGACTGAAAAAACGATTTCAATCCCACGGCTCCAGCCCTCCTCCAAGATGTCCCTCTGTAATCACGCTGTCCTTCTCTGAATGTCTGGCACTGTGTTCCACTAGCACTTAATTACATTATACATATATATATACTTGGGGCTCAGGACACACTACCCTAAAATATGACTGTTTGACACCAGAATATGCCACCCCAAAATATACTTTGGCATATTTTGAGTTAGTTATTCCAAGATACTGCAGACACAGAAGTAGCTCTGAAAAGCTGCCCTTTTATAAAACAAATTTCCTTTTTTTTTTTTTTTTTTTTAAAGAGACAGGGTCTGGCTCTGCTGCCCAGGCAGAGTGCAGTGACGTGATCATAGCTCATTGCAGCCTCGATCTCCTGGGCTCAAGCAATCTTCCTGCCTCGGCCTCCTGAGTAGTTAGGACTAACAGGCATGGGCCACCACACCCAGCTAATTTTTAAATTTTTTGTGAGACAGGGTCTCACTATGTTGCCTAGGCTGGTCTCAAACTCCTGGGCTCAAATGTTTCTCCTGTCTCAACCTCCCAAAGCACTGGGATTACAGGCATGAGCCACACTGCCTGGCCTAGAAACTTCCATCTCTCAGGGAAATCCACATTAGTAAAAGTATCTATAAAGAAGAGGGCTGCTCCTGACAACTTCTATCACCTGAGAGATTTTTATCTGCATAACAAGAGAACCTTTATTCATCATCTCCTCTCTGTCACCCTCCTATAACTTGTCTCTACCACCCGTAGGAACCCCAACCCCCTTTTCCTTTCTGTAGCTCCAGATGCTATTAAGCTTCAATCATCTGGTCTCTCTTCGAATCTCATATTCAGTGGGACTTCCGTGCATATGTATATAATTAAATACATTTTTTCTCCCATTAATCTGTCATGTCAATTTAATTCATAGCCCAGTCAAAGCCCTCCTCCCTAGAAGGGTGGAGGGAAACAATTTTCCATTCCCCTACTATGTATATAATCTTTTTTTTTGCCACCTAGGCTTAAGAGTTTAATAATAAACTCATATCAAGCTTTTTTTGAGCAGCTGAGATTACAGGCATGTGCCACCAGGCCTGGCTAATTTTTTGTATTTTAGTAGAGACGGGGTTTCTGCATGTTGGTCAGGCTATTCTTGAACTCCCGACCTCAGGTGATCCACCCGCCTTGGCCTCCCAAAGTGCTGGGATTACAGGTGTGAGCCACTGCACCTGGCATTTCAAGCATTTTTAATGTCAGACATTCTAGAATCAGTGTGCAGCCAGCCTGGCCTATAGATGGTGAAACCGCCGTTTATCTTGTCCTGTGCCTCATCGTGCGTCCCCAACTGCTCTGCAAGTGCCTGCAGGCAGGGCCCCGCTGCCCTTCCCCAGTGCCTGGCGCAGTGCTGAGCACACAGTATCTGCCTAGTCCTGGAGCCTGTTACTTGCTTCCCCATAGCTGCAGTGTGGGCCGGACTCCCACAGCTGACAAGCAGAGCTCTGGCCAATTCCATTCCAAACTGTCCAGAAGCAAAGTTTTCCTCCCTGTGAAAGCAGGACCTGGGGAGGAACAGTGGGCTCCAGATGTGGAAACTTCTGGCTCCTCCTGACTGGGGTGGGGGTGGAGGGCCTCCATCCCAGGAGACAGTCACTGGGCAAGGCCAAAGAGTATCACTGAGGAGAGTCTCTGATCGAAATGCCTGAATACTGAAATCCAGCAGCTTTCAACATTTATGCCCTGCAATAAGAGCCATTCCAGAAGAGCAACGGTCACAGTACTGTCCTCAAGCCCCACACTGTGCCGTTACTCAAAGTGAATACACACTGGCCCAGGAATCAGAAACTCAAGCCAAAGTCCCAGCTCTGTGGTCACCCAGCTGGGCATGTCACAGGTCCCACACCTGTACAATAGGAGTAAAGTCACCTGTCCCACGAACTCCCACCAGGCTGAACTGTGATGACCTCTCAGTAGCAGCTGCATTCAGCTCTCCAGCACACAGGGAAGGGACTCCTGCTTTGAAGCTGCAGGCCGGCCAGATCCCAAGAAGCAAGTTTCCAGGCCAGGTGCCTCTGAAGGCTCCCAGAAAGCCCCGAGCTTCTTGGCCTGTTCAACTAGGCCCTTCACTCCTAGGACCTAAGACAGGCTTATGACAGGAAGAGGATGAAAGGAGATACATAAAGCTACAGGAACTGGGCTCTGGACAAAGCATCCTCGCTGTGACCCCTCTTGCAAGCATTTTCCTGTTTAAGCTATAGAAGCCCATGTGAAGTAAACACTGAGGTCTTTTAAGGCCAAACGCCCTTGCCATGCCATCGGCATTGAAGGATGATGTGAAAGTGAGTGTTCTCTCTGGAAAAGGGGAAGGAGCGTGGGTCAGTGTAAACACTCCAAGTGCTTGGTCACACTGCTGGGGCTAGGGAAGGATGGCTGGGTCCTGAGATGTGACCCATTGCCGGTACTCTCTGCAGGCCCATCCAAGCCATGCGGCACACAGGCCCTGGTCGGGGTGGGGAGCCCAGTGCAGACATAAGCCCTCTCTTTACGTGCTTACGCCCTCTTCAGGATGCTGTCAGAGCCTTCGGTAGACCACACCGGCCACCCCAAACCCAGGCTCAGTGCTCCCTCACCCACCATCCTAACCGCTGGGACCTGCCGACTCCCATGTCATCTGCAAGCGTGATGCAGCATCCAGGGGCACAGAAAGGCACTCAGGTGACCTGACAGAGCCAGCCCCTGCTGAACCATGGGACATCTCAGCCCACGGGGTCTGTATGTCGAGGGCAGCCCTGATTCTGTGGAGGAAGACCGAGACCAGTGAGGCTGGTGTCTCTGTTCCCCGTTAGAAAATGGCTGTGCCACAGGCCGCCAGCTTTGCCAATCTCCCCAGTCGCTCCAGTGTGGGCTGATGATGGAGGTTCCCAGGAGAATGTTGGCATCTGCCTCATCTTCCTCCTTTTCTTCCTAGCCGCGCCTCGCCTGCACTCCTAGGGCAGGATCACACTGCTAATTATTTGTTGGAAGGATTAAGACTTGGAGCTATTCCCATGTAAGGCAAAGACAAACAATTTCTTCCCACCGCTATAAAGAGAGATCTGAGGGTGAGACCCTTAGTATGGCTTTTCCAAAAACGAAAAAAAAAAAAAAAATAGTTATCCTGTAAATAGGGGATATTTTTGTGGTGTCTCTGGATAAGCAAAGCATAGTCCTGGGGTCAGAGGTCATCTCCATCGCCTTACCTGGGGGCACCAATCCTCACCCTTCCTGTGGCCCTGGCTGCTCACCCCAGCACACCACTCTTGGTGGGAGGGGAAGTTGGCAGAGCAGAGCTGGCTGCAGGGAAACACACAGGCTGTGTGGGCAGCAAGCACGACGGGTCCACATTTTTACTTTCATGTTCCTGAAAGTAACTCCCTGTAGTTACTCAGCACCTGCAATGAACACTTGAACAGAGTAACCACCATGTACACGAGGGAGCCACTTCCCCGTTGAGACATGGCCTTTAGCATCAGATGATGTGGGTATACTTCCAGGCCCTGTTGCTTCCTAGAAGTGCCTTCACCTCTGATGGTACCTATTCATTTGCAAGGCAGGACAGTCATGGTACTGCCCAGGAGGGTTGCTCGGAGGACTAAAGGAAAGAGAGCCTGTGCCTGGCGCATGTCACCTCTCAAGAGAGGTTAACTGTCATTCTCAGTCATCTTTGCTGTTGTCAGACCTGTCTTCCTGCGAGATCCTTCCTTCATGTGGGCGGGGGCTAGGTCTTTCTTATCTTTGTATCCTTGGTGCCTGTTCTCAACAAATTGTTGAAGAATGGAAGAGGAAAGTTGAGTCACAAGGGCTCACCAAGGCCTGGAACACTGGGTGTTCCCAGGATCCAAGTAGCTCCAAGGAAGTAAAGCTGCAGGGTGTCCCTGAAACTCTCCATTCTTCTGGGTCCTACTGGTCCCATGTGTGTTCACTGGGCCCTGGGCAGCTCTTCCGGATCCCTCTGGCTCCTGGCCATTCTGGGAACCCTCTGTGTGTTGGGGATGGGGGTAGGGGGGGGTGGCGGGGTGGGCGGGAAGTAGCAGCAGGTGTGGTGAATGCATAGAAAGGGGTATTATCTCTTAAAAGGACAGTAATTAGTAATTGCAGCTGATGGCTGTGCTGAGCTGTTTTAATGAAGAGTTCTATTTTTATAGAAAACACATAATTGAGTGAAAAAGCAGGCTATTCTCTGAGTCAGGAGGCCATGCCTCTGGAAAGTCTAATTCCTTGGCCAGGAGGCCAGAGCCTGTATAGTAAATGGGCCCCAGCCCGGGCTGCACCAAGTTGGACTCAGTGGTGACAAGCAGGGTCCAAGTCTGATGACCAAAGTGTCCCTCCTTGAAGCCATGTGACCTTGGGCAAGTCACAGATCCTCAGTTTCTTTCCTTCCTTTCTTCCTTTCTTTCTTCCTTCCTTCTTCCCCTCCCCTTCCTTCCTTCCTTCCCTTTTATTTTTTTTTTGAGATGGAGTCTCGCTCTGTCGCCCAAGCTGGAGTGCAGTGGCATGATCTCGGCTCACTGCAATCTCCGCCTCCTGGGTTCAAGCGATTCTCCTGCCTCAGCCTCCTGAGTAGCTGGGACAACAGGCATGCGCCACCACGCCCCACTAATTTTTTTAAAATTTATTTTTAGTAGAGACGGGGTTTCACTATGTTGGTCACGCTGGTCCAAACTCCTGATCTCAAATGATCCACCCGCCTTGGCATCCTAAAGTGCTGGGATTATAGGCATGAGCAACAGCGCCAAGCCTAGAGTTTCAGTTTCTTATCTGTAAAATGAGAATGACAGCATCTATTTACCCTGAGGACTGCTGCAGGACATCATGCACATAAAAGGCCCAGCAGGGGCTGGCACTTCAGAAAGGGTTCAATCCAAGTTTGCCCAAACTTTCATTCTCAGTCCCCCAGCCCCCATTACATGCAGGTGCTTACTTAAGTCCTCTGTTTCCTTATCCATAAAATGGGAATCATGACAGTTTCTACCCCTCCTAGGGTGCTGAGAGGATTACAGAGCTAATGCAGCAAGGTGCTCACAGCAGTGCCTGGCAGGAGCCAGCACTGGGTGCATCATTGTTATTGAAGCTCTTGGAGTTCAAGTATACCAGGGCGGTCCTGCCAATCAGCCGGCATGGGTTCTAGCCTCTGCTCCACTATTCATCAGCAACGTGATCTTGAGCTATCATCTAACTTTCACATTAGTTTCTTCATCTTCAAAACAGGGGTGCTGTAAAGACCAAAAAACAAAGCAACCAAACCAAAACAACCAAACTGGGTGAGGGGTGTGACAGCACT